GGCCAACATGTCTAAAAATCCTTTTTTTTTTATTGTTCTTATGTAATATTCTAATTTTCTGATATACTGAATTTAGCATTTTCATTAGTTGTCAGTTATAATCATCAACATTAAAAGAAATGAACATTTGAAATATATCAGTATGTGTGCAATGAATGAATATTATATACAGGTTTCACTTTTTGCATGGAATTACTGAAATAAATCAACTTTTTCGTGATATCTAATTTTATGACCAGCACCTGTAAACCCCCCAGTTTCACCTCGTTTCATACATTGCACAACTTTGCATAAGAGGCATCATGTAAAAGAATGTTACAGAAAGTAACATTTCTTCTTCTCCTCAAAAAAGGTCAAAACCAGAAAATTTTTATGTATGAAGTTATGCATCCAAGGTAAAAAAAAATTGTTTGTGTTAGCATCCTATATGAAAAAAGGGGAGCCATCTTAAATATAAATAACTGATCCACTAATGCTTACTGCTCTAAATCTGTCTCCACAGAGCTTTTGGCTCTGACACAAAATGACAGTACAGTTAAGTGGGTCGACTAAACTCCTATCCTTGCTGAAGTGCAACATGCATGTGTACACTAGAGCGTATACCTGCATTCAATCTGACAACCTAACTAGGTCAAGGTAGTGCAGATTATTAAAACAGATTTGGTGGTTAAGTTCTGAACACACAAACATTCACCAATACAGATCCTGTTAGTTTATCTGAACTAAATCAGTCTTGTTGCCAAGGCAGCTAAAGCCTGCTGCTTTTTTAGGCTTCTGTAATTATTTTCAAAAATGATACATGGCGACAGAAGATTTACCTCCGAGTTCTAGCCTTGTATCTTGGCAACGATAAAGAAATGGGAGTGAAGCAACTTTCCAAATCTCTTCTGCTATTGATTTTGCAGCATGAGAAGGGAGGAAGCTGTGCTGCTGGAGAAGCCCTTTACTCCAACCTAACTTGCTTTAGAGGCATTAAGTGCACATTTAGACGATTAAGGGTCAATATTAACTAAATGAGGTGCAAAGTATTGGTATATTTTATATATACAGTTCTGTGCACAAGACTTCAACAATTTAGATTGTGTCATACTTGAAAAAGCTTTTCTGACTCATCAAAGATGTATTTAAAAAAGTACTATATTCACTTATAATAAAATGTTTTTTCCTACTAGATTACAACACAGAGTGTATAGTTTTATTTTCTTAAAGAAGAAACAAAAGTAGTATCATGAAAAAATAAGTTGTAATAAAGTTGTGTGCTTTCTGAACCCAACCATCACATAAAATAATCTCTTACTTTGACTTAGAAGATTATAGTTATGGTATTTGGTTGTTCTGTCTCCTAAAATATTTGTTGTTTGACACATAAGAGGAGACAGGGGTAGTTTATTCACTCGTTGCACGAGATGGAAAATTGAACCATGTGCAGAGTGGATTATTAAATATGTAAAAGAATAAACACCATTTGAAAAGTATTTTTCCAACACTAAACTAGAATTTTTAACCTATAATATCTTGTGTACTTGATATGATTAAATCTCTTTGATAGCGTGTGCTTTGATTTTTCAGATATATTTTGTGTTCAAAATTTTCAGGCAGTATGTATTGACAAAGATAATGTAATGAGATTTTGAAAAAATACTTAAAAAAGTGAATGAGTGTTGCTACAACAATGACGATTTAACTTGGGTATTCAACACAACTGCTCAGTGGGCGCAGTTTCTGGAAGCCAGCAGCTCAGGGGCTGGACATCCAGCAATAAGTATTACAATGATCTGTTCCCTTTTAAATTTGTTTTATTGCATTGAATCATAAATGCAATAAACAGAACCCAAAAACCAAACCCAAACCACAGAACCCAAAAAACTTTTTATTTTTTTTATGAACTCATTGGTGGGCTGGACTGAAGTCACTCGCGGGTCAGAAGTGGCTGGAATAGCCCTGGTATGAAGTGAGTTTTAAAAGAATTACGTGCTGTATATCCCTCCTGTTGTCCTTGGGTCAAAATGGCCCCTAAGGTCTTTGGAGTTATTCTGACCCAATGGAAGCAGGAAGGATAAATTTCAATTATACTTAAAAGGGTGAAAGTTTGTTTTGTGCTCTGTTGCATTAAGATAAAATTATCTTCAAAACCACCTTGATTTCAGGGGCTGAAACGGGGTAGAGGAAGGGCAGCCAACCTGGGACCACAAAGTTGCGGTTCAACTCCCCAGCCATTTCCACGTCGTGGTGTCCCTGAGCAAGACGCCTAATCCCCAATTGCTCCCCTGGTGCTTGCATAGCTGCCCACTGCTCGATCTGGGTGTATCTCAGGTGTGATGGGTTAAATGCAGAGAATTTCACCATTGTATGGGAACATACAATGATGGCAACACATAGAACTTTACTTTTTACTTTACTTGATTTCAATATGACTGGGTTATTCCAAATAAATTTCAATATAACATGCAAAGAGTGTCACTAAGGTCGTTTTCACACCTGATAGTCCGGTAGACTCGGCTCGATTGGGGACCAAAATTCGGAACATTTGTTTACATTTTCAGCTGGTGCGGTTCACATTCACACTGCTTTGAGTCCATCGAGCCAACCTGTTCCCCACCTCGCCTGTGGGGGCGCTGCACCAAGAACTACTGAAGGAAACGACACAAAAACCTCTGAAGACGACACTTCTTCTGGAAATAAAAACAAAAATGGAGTGGCGTCGAATTGTAGTGGTTTTAGGATTTCTGTTTTGTTTGTGGCTCATGTGCCAAACAAACATTTTTCAATAATGGACTCGGCATGAGTGGAAGATGAGGCAGAAGACCATGGAGAATGTTGTTTTTCACACAAGGTGGCTCCATATGAGGTACAAGAAATGTACGTTTGTTTTGGTTGTATTACACAAAATGTCCTGCGCTGTAGTCCACTTCCTGCTTTTGGAGCGGTCTCCAGTCCGCTTGCATTCACACTGCATTCGAACCACGCTAGAGTTCACTTCAACCGAATAGAGACCTAGGTATTTAGGTGGACCAGAGTTCACTTTTTTGATCCACATCCGAGTTCGACTGCGAATTCACACCTCTCCAAACAAACCGGACTTTCTAGCCAAACGGAGTAGAGTTCGATTAAAGCAAACTAAACAGGGCTGGTGTAAATGCACCCCAACTCACACCGGTGAAAACAGACTTGGCAAATTGACTCAGAAAATTTAAAGAACTATTTGCTTACAATGCAAACAACCATGCACTTCCTCTTCAATAAACAGAACAAACAATGATTTGCCTGAGGCTTACGTACAACACGGGTTCACATTTCAAACAGAAATACTGAGACACCAGTCTGCATAAACTGGAGGTAATGCATCAGATACCAAGAGCTTACGGTACATGCATGAATATCTGAATCTAATGACTATATAAAGAAGCAACTCCATCTGCAAGTCTTTGAACCACTAATTGTACGTGAAGGGAGTTTATATGCATGATCAGCTGTATGTTAAGTCTACATTAAAATGCAGATCCACACACTATGCACATACAAGCCGTTACATTTTAAGATGGGCGTAAAACGTAACTAACAAGTATTTAACACTCATTAGATGTTATGGCGCGAGGCCTACAAACACATTGTCAGACTATTGGCAAGTCTTTTCACACCTAAGCAAGGCTACAGTGTCTCCATTTTCATTCCACACACACTCATTACGTCTAAACACAAACATCACAGACATACAGCACAATCATTGCTTCCGCATCACTTGTCGAAAGCCAGCTTAAGGCTGATATTTTTGTCATTAAAAAGACATTAATGAGGACAATTAAAATGACTGTGATAAGAGACTAGGACGGGGATTTGAATCTCACTCCCATACAGAGCGCCAGAAGGAACACTGTTGGCTTTTTGACTTTGAGTGGGCGCATGTTTTGGTTTTAACAGGCTGTGGTGCATTTTTGTGTTTGTTTCTACCCAGCTGTACAGTTATGAAAGTGGATTTGTGAATCGGTTGCTGCATCTACCATAGGTGTTATGGACTTCAGTTATCTGAACAGCAGTCTGGTATGTTCAGTCCAAATGAAGGGGTTAAAGCTTGATATGTTCAAACTTTGAATCACAAAATCTTACTTGCAAAACAGAACGGAATAAATGAGGTTTTTATTTGTGTTGCTGGTGTGATTTTAAGTAGTTCTACTGTTTTGGCACTTTTCCATCATCTGCACTTTGTATTTCTATGTAAATTAGAGCAACTTATTCCATTATGGTCCCATTACAACGTGACCCTCTGAATCTGGCAGAATTCAAAACAAAATAAAAATAAAATAACACGCCGTTACTGAGACTGGAAGATGCAAAAATGACACTAAAGAGATTGTCGAAACTCAACCTACTGTGCCGAAATGCTTCCCATTTCCAGAAAAGTTTGTTCAAAAGAAAATCGCACCAATACTTATTTGCTATATTCTTACTGTGAGGTTTTCATAATATTTTTACTTATTTTAGATCAAATTTAGATGTGTTTTTTTCCCAGCATAATGCAGTTAAATTAATCAACTTGCATTCATCCGTTGATCCATTAAAATTCAAAACAAAGTAAGATGCAATGTTGAAGTCCTGCTGTGCGTCTTGAGCACCGTTTAACGGTGCTGGGTTCTACTGGGTCAGAAGAGAGTAAATCATAGACGGCCCCCAGGTGTACAAACCCAGTAGATCAATAGACATAAGAGGGGGAAATCAACACTGCTTGTTTAAAGGGTGAATCCGGGCTAACACCAAGCCCTGGGGTACCTTGAATGAGTACTTAGTATTCAAACTGAGGCGCAGAGGGAAATAGATATTCAGCTCCAAAATGCAATTGTCTACCAAAAGAAACAGGGAGAGGTGCGTGGAGTGTTTACACATCCCCATGCAGAAGTATTCCTTAATTCAAGGAAGGTGATTAGAGTAAATCATACCGATTCACATAATGGGACGCGCACAGAGCGGAAAAATGGTGGCTTTTAAGATCCATCAGTGGTTCTTACCTTTTTACCGATGAGCTTCTTCCTTAGGAACTCACGGGCCTCAAACATGTAGGGGATGTCATAGAGAGGGCGGAATCGTTTATCTTTGTCCTTGTTCTTCTCCTGAATACAGATGGAGGTGCCATGGTGGAGGAATCGGGGAGAAGGGTCAGCAGGAGGAAGATTGCGGGGAGAAGCAGAAAAAAAAAATGGAGGGAGAACGTTAGTCACTTTACAAAAATAAGGTTAAATCATCAATGTCCAGAGGACCAGATGGAACTTTTTTGGATTTTTCTACCTGGATTATTGAGCATGCATCAGGATAAGGTTAAATCACATTATTTCAAAAGTTTGTGGTTAAACGTATCTGCTGTAAAGGCATTTCTCTGAAAAACATGCCATTAATGTATATTTTTTATGACTACCCCACCACTAGGGCTTTGTCTGTTTTGCTTTGATCTGAAGGAAGACCAGGTGATTATTAAAAAGACACACCTGTGCCCAATATGGTCTTATCCATTTAAGATCTGCTCCTGCCGGCTGCTCTGGTGGCTCCCTGGGCAGATGGGAGTTTACCTTGGTCGTGTACAGATCTGGCTTGTGTTGTTTCGCACATATGTTGATTTGATCACACAAGCTTTACTATACTGGTGGACTGATGTCATGCTTTTCAGCTTTCCTTTCAAATAACTGGCCATGTCATGTCTCTTATTTTTACAGTTTTTGAGCCAGAATGGTGGCTTGTCAGGGATGTAACCACTTTAAACACACACAAAAATACATATGGTCACATTTAAGTGATCTTTAAATCATCTAACATGATCCTTTTTGTTATTCCGTTGCCGTTTGGATACTTAAATTGGTGAAATGTAAAAAATAAATTAAAATTTAAAGCTTTACACGCACCACATGCACATTCCATCTTCAAAAACAGAAATACAACTTCTTTCACTAAGAGGAAAATACCAAGAAATGGAATGTATTTGCTTTTCTCAAAAGAAGGTTGAGCTTTTTTGTTGCTTTTAAAGCAAATAAACAAATACCCAGAGTGACAGGTGCTTTTCTTGCTGGGGAATGTTTAAAATATAATGTCTACAACTGACAATATTGTTGGGAAATAAACAAGCTCTTACAGGAGAAATACAGCTAGGAATGATAATACCGGTGTGTTCGCCACCTCCGGCCCCACCACTTTCCTCCCCGAGCGTCATGATTATCTGTCGTACAAACAGTCCTCAAAATGAGCACACAGGCTCAGATTAATTCCTCATTTACTCTTCTTCTTAATGGTTTCCATTCATTTTTAATGACTCCATAGTTGTTCAGAGCTGCCAGGTGTGGTGCACAGCTGAGCAGATAGATGTTAAGAAAAGACAAGTGAGGACAAAAGGTTGTTAGGATGCATAGAAGTTTATGGCTCCGTTAAGGTCAAGATAGATTTTGTGGGAGAAACTAAAAAAATAAAAAAAATAAAAAAAGCTTTTAGTTGAAGGAATCTTTTGTTCCTTTTTTTTAATCGACTCTAGTCACATCAAATCTATCAAATATATATATTTTTTTGTATTGACCTTTGTTGGACTTTATAACCTTAATAGGTTTTCAGTCTCTTGTCTTATTGGGTCACTTCCTTCTTGTTTTCTTTCACCAGTAGAGTCAGCAAAATGTTAAATCTCACATATTCCCAGTGGAAATCCCTCATCCCCATTTCATCTCTACCAATTCAGTTGTGATGATATGAAGGAAGGATTTAACACTTTCTTTCTAGTATGAAACTGTTTCTTTGGTTTAAATGCTTCTTTCACATTAACTGACAAATCCTAAATGTTAATTATTTTGCTTTCACAATCTAAAATCTACTCCTGCAAACGTTTCATTAAGATTCTGATCAACAAAATGACAACAGAACAACTCCCACAAAAAAAAGTAAAGAACAAACCGAGGAGAAGAGGGGAAAATGATTTCTCACTAATAGGCTGTGGAAAGGCAACCATGTCACTGCGGGAAAAGAGTGTAAATGTCAGCACTGTATGCCAATTAGACACAAGGAGTGGAGAAGCAGACAAAAGGTACCACTAGTGCATCTTTTAGAAATCTTGCCTTTACAATGTGCACAAGCTTGAAAGTGACAGAAACAAGGATTAAAAATAAAATGGACAAGTAGTTAGTAACTGAAGCAGATCATTGTTCGTAATGAAATGCTGTGCATTGCTGCTTAACTGCAACTCAAACCATTCAAAAATTAAAGCCCCACCATTCCTTAATGGACTGCATACAGTAGTCTCACTTATCGTGCGGGTTACGTTCCAGACACCCCCGCGATAGGTGAAAATCCGCAAAGTAGGAACGTTATATTTATTTTAGTATTTATATACATATATCCCTATATATCATCCTTCTTAATATAGCGAGCATTGCACTGGGTAAAAGCTCAAGGCGGCGAGGTCCAACAGTGACGGTGGGGGCACGCCCAGAGCGCCGACACGTTGCCTGCATGGAGACCTCCGCCCTCCTTCCCCCGCTGGACAGGTCTCTTCCATTGGTCCCAGGGAGGCAAGCGAAAGAGCATGGGCAGCATGGAGGAAGGTCTCCAATGGCAGCCAAGCCCCACAAGCACTGCGGGCTTGACGGGAGAAGGCACCCCCCGGACGCTCTCCTGGAGGTGTGTGGACGGGGATGGAAAGAGGGTACGGAGGGTATGAAGAGCCATATGGACGCAGGAGGTACAGTCATGAGACAGGAACTGAGCTGCCCAGTCCTCAGCGTTGATCCCGTAATGGCAGCCAACAGCCGCATGGGTTCTCCCTTCCTTTAACATGTCGAGAAGTTCCACTTTCTCTTTTATGGTAAGCATCTTTCTCTGGTGCTTGTGTTCTCTACCTGACACTTTAGAAGGTGCAGAACGTTTGGGTGGCATCGTAGGGCTTGAAATAAATTTCAAAAAAAGAGCACAGCGAGGAGGGGGTGGGGGGTAGTGAAAGGCGTTCAGGTTCTTCCATATCAACTTTTAGCTCAGTATTTATTAAATGGACTGAATTAGTCACTTTAGGTCATTTTCACACCAGATAGTCCGGTAGACTCGGTTTGGTTCGGGACCAATATTCATGACATTTTATTTACATTTGAGCTGGTGCGTTTGCATTCACACTGCACTGTGCAGTCGAGTTAACCTGTTCCCCCGCTCGCCTGTGGGGGCGCTGCACCAAAAACTACTGAAAGAAACGACACAAAAACCTCTGAAAACACTTCTTCTGTAAATAAAAATAAAAACGAAGTGGCATCAAGTTTTAGCAGTTTTAGGAGTTATATTTTGTCATTTTCAAAAATGTACTTAGCATGAGCAGAAGATGAGACAGAAGACCATGGAGAATATTGTTTTTCCACACAAGGCAGCTGACGGCTCCATATAAGGTAAGAGAAATGCGTGTTTGTTTGTCCTGCGGAGCGGGGCTCGGTCTGTTTACATTCACACTGCACTCGAACCACGCTGGAGTTCACTTTTACCGGACCGAGACCTAGGTTTTAGCCCGGGCCAGAGTTTGCCTTTTTGTTCCGTGACAGAGTTCGAAGGCACGTTCACACCTCCCTAAACAAACCGGACTTTCTAGGAAAACGAGCTAGAGTTCGATTAAAGCGGACTAAACAGGGCTGGTGTGAATGCACCCTTAGTGTTGGCTACGGTCTATTAGGAGCCTCTTGAATGGGCTGACTCCAATGGTTGTTCAGTTGCTGAGATACAGCCAATTACCGGTATTTGAGTTTCGTTAAAATTCACCCACTGGTTCACGAGATATTATGCTAACATGACAGAAACACACTCATCAACAGTCACGGGCAAAAATATTATCGTCTGCATTTGCCTTTTGGCAGCAGGTGACAAGCGTGATTCATTTTTAACCAATCAAAGACCAGGCTTCTCTGTGCGGATGACTAAATGAAAAAAATACTACGACAAGTCTAATTATTCGACTACAAAGCTGTATTCAGCCTAATTTTACAGATAAAATGACAACATCGGCTACATTTAATTACTCCAACCAGACAAACTCGGCACACATCATCCATAAAGTGAGATTATACAGCTGCAGTGAGGTTACAGATAGAGACTCGCTGCTGTGTCTCAGTCGTAACCCAATCACAACAGTTGGCACTCACTATCCTCAGGGGGAGTTTTGTTCTATTTGGGGTGAATTCCCTTCGTTCTAAATTACCAGCTAAAGATCAGGAATGGTTTTTGACTACTGCAGAGGCATGGTGCATACAGGATTGTACAGTGTCGCAGGGCTGCAGGCTCTGAGCTGCAAATGTGTGGCTGCGACTGCTGGAAGCGTTTTCAACTTCTGGAACATCAAGAGTGAAATCATGACTCAGGAGAACGTCGTAATTTCTGATGAGGGGAGGGAGTGTACAGTAGAAGACCCCAGTGTTGCATTCAGCTGATTGTGTTTAACCACTCTTTTGGAGAGGGGGGAAAAAAATCACTGCTGTATTCATGCGTCTCAGACAAAGAGGACATGTTTATATTTTATAACTAAAAGCTCTGGGAGTCTTAGACAAACTGTCAGTGTTTACTATTGCGTGCCTAACAACAGAACGTCTATGCACGAACATTAAATGGTTTCAGAGCATTGGGGCAGAGAGTAAAACAGCACAAGAAAGATAGAGACTTCTCAAACGTAGACCACTGAGAATCCCACCAGTTAAAGTTTAAACTATAAATCATTTTACAAAACAACAACAAGATTTATTCCCTTAGCTCCTCGTTAAAGTGGCCTGAACTGATCCACCAATGAAGCAAAACTAAACTGCTTTTCAAAGTAAAATTGTCTGCAGTAATTTAAAAATGATCTACCTCAATCATGCTCAACTAGAAGCGTACAGCAGGTGTCAGGGCTGACGTGAACATCCGTGTCATTAATAAGGGTATTAAACACAATGTCAGCTAAAACAACATTTGCTGCCTCAAGAGAGCTTCAATCTACAAATTGTGTGCAATGTTGTGGATTTAATTTAGAGACGAGACTCTGATGTTCCCCTAAATACAGCAATGTCTGATGGGATGATGCTTTACTAATGAAACTGATCCAGAATACTATGGAGCTTTGTGAAAGAAGGCTTTTTTTTTT